GTGGGCGCGTCTCGGAGTCTAATAGGACGTACAAGTCCACTGCCTAATTCACCAGCAAGCACTGTGCTGCAAAGTGTTGAAGTGGGATTCTGTCATGAAGGTTGTGGTGTCATGCATAAACTTCATCAGAGCAAAGGGACTTAAACACAGGCAGTTCCAACAATTCCTGTCTGAACTGGAGTCTGCGCACGGCGATGTGCTGTACTACACAGAGGTCCGATGGTTGAGCCGGGGCAGAGTTTTGAGGCGTTTTTACGAGCTGCTACCCGAAATTAACGCATTTCTTCAATCAAAAGACAAAACGGTCCCAGAGCTGATCGACCCAGAATGGAAATGGCACCTCGCATTTTTAACAGACGTGACAGAAATGCTGAACAGCCTTAACTTGCAGCTACAAGGCCAGGGGAAACTCATTTGCGACATGTATTCTCACATAAAAGCATTTGAGGTGAAACTTGCGCTGCTTTTGGAACAAGTGAAAAAGCACAACTTCATCCATCTCCCTGCTACCCAAAACCTCTCTGTAGAGAACCCAGCGGTCCCGTTCCCAGCTGAAAAGTGTGTGGAAGCACTGGAAATGCTGAAGGCGGAGTTCGGTGTGCGATTCCGGATACTACATGTTAATGCAAAAGAAATCCGTCTTTTCCAGAACCCCTTTCTTGCCGACATCGATGAAGCCCAGCCTTCTTATCAGTTTGAGTTGGCCGAGTTACAGAACTGTGATGTTCTGAAAGACGCATTCAAGCCCAACAGTCTCATTGACTTCTATGCCGCCCTCCCAAACGACACATACCCTAACATAAAAAAACATGCAATGAAGATGTTTACACTTTTTGGCAGCACGTATATCTGTGAGCAAACCTTTTCACACATGAAACACCTGAAAACTCCGATGAGATCAAGATTGACAGATGAACATCTGCATCAGTGTTTGAGACTGGCTGTGACTAGAATGGAACCTGACATTCAACTTCTCACCAGCCAGATGCAGGCCCACGGTTCACACTGATAAACTTACATAGGTAAGCTCACTTTTCTGACTTGAATGAGTCATTCTGAGTATAAACAAATGTAATCATAATAAAATCTACTGCGATAAAATCCATCTCCACAACCATACTGGTAGTGAAATGTATTGTGCTGTTTAGGTGCTGTATCACTTAGTTCGGTTTCTCAGCCTGCTTGCTTTGTGATTTTCACAGGGAAGTTGATGAGAGAGAGCTGCAAACACGGTGTCTACAAGCCTACTGGAACCTACAAAAGGATTATAAGGAAGGAACACAAGAACTTTGAGAGACTGCTCATATGAGTCATTTGAGTAAGAGATTCTGCTCTGACAACTAAGCTAAACTTTTACCTGTTAAGATTGTGCACGGCACAACAGAAAGTTAATGTTCAATGGACTTTTTTTCTGTGAAGAACCCAGAGAGGGTTATTTGGTTATTATTCATTTCATAAATAGTGTTATTTATTTCATTAATAGTGTTATTACTTATTTCCTGACTTTTTTTTCTGTGAAGATCCCGGAAAGGGTTATTAATATTTGGTTATGTGTGGCTTTCTAGAAAACAATAAATGTTTACGTTTAGACACTCCTGCGATCGTCACACTTTTTCTGTTACAAACTGACCCCGGCCCCCATCAGAGAAGGGAAAAGTTATGTGGCCCTCACAGGAAAAAGTTTGGGGACCCCTGATGTAGAGAGTAACGAAGTAGTGTAATATATTACTTTTTAAAAAAGTAATATGTAATATATTACTTTTTTTTAGTAAAACTCTACATAAAGTAACTCGTTACTTTACTCGTTACTTTACTCGCCGAGCACGTACGAACTGCGCATGCGTGAGTGGCAATAACTCTCCTTACCAGCAGGTGGCGTTAGTGTGTATTCGTCATTCAAAACAGGCAACAACCGGAAGACAGAGAAGAAGAACAGACTACGTGATATAAACAAACAACAAATAGCGTGTGCATAATATTAGCTTCACCTTAGCATGTGTTCTTTGCAGGTGTTTGTTGAGGTTTGACGTGGTGTTTACAGCAGTGGATAACAGCTTCTGGCCTGGACACAGTTTGCACCTCACCGTCACATTCCTGTCTATTCTTCGGACGAACTCAAAATAATGGGCATACCTGTCCTGCACCCAGACTTGCCAACCTTGAGACCGCCGCTAGTGGATCGCCGGAGCTGTTAGATTAACATTATCATGCTTATTGTAGATCTGAGTGCACTGCCTTGCGGCCTGTAGTACCATCCTCTTGATGGAGCGTGTGGGCTGGACCAGAAAAGGAGTGGGCAGACGAGGGTCGAGTTGTCGATTCTTGTTCTGTTTTTCGGTGACTATCTAGTTGCGCACGCTACTAAAGAGACGCGCTACCATGAAAACCAAACAATGGTGTAGCTGTAATAAAGTCAGAGTGGAAACAGTCGTGTGTAAATCTGATTTTGTCAGAAATCGGGAGAAATATGACCCCGGGAGGAAACCGGGAGAGGGCTATGAAATCGGGAGTCTCCCGCGAAAATCGGGAGCGTTGTCAAGTATGCTTGCACCCCTCGAAAGTTATCGCTGACTCAGCCATGTTTATGCAGCACTGCACGTGGAAATGTGGACGCGCAAATCACGCAGATTACGTATAAACCTGCGGCGGAAACCCCTCTTGTCTGTCAGTGTGATTATGACTGATTTTTAGTATAAGTAACGAAGTAACGCGTGTCGGGGCAATGTTAGTAGCCTAACTGTAGTGTGATTACTGAATTATAAAAGTAGCGCGTTACACTACTCCGTTACCGACAAAAGTAATATTATTACATTATGTTACTTTGTAACGCGTTACACCCATGGATGGTTACACCCAACTCTGATTATTTGTATGATGATACAGGGGTTAGGATTTTAGATAATTCAAAGCAAGATATAACGGAATTCAGAGATCACATTTAAGAAAAACTGTCAGCATAATGACAAACCCATTGTGTGCATAACATCTGACTAAAAACACAATTTGTATGCAATCAGAACAGTGAGATAAAACATAATATTATTTATACAATATATAATTTGAGAGGGCGCATATTGTTGCAAATGAAATAAAGTGTAGTCCGAGTTAATCCGTGCATTTGTACTATTAATAAAAAATCAATACAGAGAATTGATACAGTAGCCTATCACAAACCATTACATTATGATAAGGTACTGTATGGATATTTGTCTTATACCCTTATATAAAGCATGCCTATATTAATGATTAAAGATATACTTATATTCCTAAATTACTTTGAGACATCTTGTGCTTACTTCAGATGTGAACATTTCTTTATATATTTTTGTTTGTGCTTCTTTCACTACCTGCCATTACCTGATGCACAAGGTGTATCGAGAAAACAATAGACTCAGCTGCCAATTATTTCAGCTATTACTAATGTGGTTTAATGCATCATCCCTGCAATCAAATCTATACTCATTAAGTTTGCTAATTAAAAAACGTTATGCATATGTACTAGTTTTCCTATGGAGTAGAAGTTCAATCTCATATGTTTGGATTTGGACAAGAAAGCACCCAATAAAATGACAACAAAATGTATTTTATACTGCATATGTGTATTACTAGTGAAAACACTTGCTGCACATAATCTATGGGGTTTCACATAATTAATGTTATTTAATCACATTTCTAAAAGTATGCACAAAAACGACATGTCGGGTGCCTTTATGATTTCACATAACTTTTTTGGGTGAGTAATAGACACTTCTCCTTATCTCTGGGATAGAGTCACCAGAATAGCAGCAGAAACAGCTGTTGCAGGGAGTAAGAATGATCTCATTGAGCAAGTAGACTCATCCTCACCTCCTAACCTCCGACCTTAATGAATGATGCCACTGTCCCTGCATGAGTGATGGAAATAGGGAAGTCACCAAAGGCAGGCCTGCTGTGCTGAGAGCTCGATCCCCGTCCACCAACACTGAAGGCACCTTAACTTAACTGCATTCCTGGCACAGTCGCAAATAATTGATATTCTAATGAATCATAGTTTATGAGCTATCCTTCCACTTTGTGAAGCATGTTTGAAAGAAATAGATGACAGAAATCAGCCGATCTCACTCACCGTCCGCCCATTAAGCTCACTTCGCCAACAAGGTGTGTAGTGCTCGCAAGAGACAGAGATCAAGTTTTTACCTTAATTTAAACAACACATCTTCTTAGTCTGAGCCTTACCTGGCTTGGCCGGCTTTGGAGGAGGCTTCGACATTTGCAGGGCTCGAAGATTAAATAAAGCTGCAGTGTATTTATTTCAGGCTCAAACGACGCAGGAGTGGTAACACTTTGCTGCCAATGAGGAAGTGCAGCAGCACTACAGGCTCGCCGGAAAAGTTCGGATGCGCATGCGCAAAGCTATTTTATTTATTCTAACCTAATTTGTGTTTTACATTTTAGATATTTTGATAATATTTCATGTGAAAACCCTAAACATTGTATTTTATTCAAACATAGCTGTTACTTATCATTAATAAATATATATTAATGTATTGCTTGTTTTTTCGTATTGACTTACAATGCTTACGTTTTAAACATTTATAAAGATGTTTTTATAAAAAATGTGCATAATGAATGTATTCTTAATATAACTATCATTATAAGTAGTTTACATAACCTCACTTTTTGTATAGAATATTTTTAATTAGATTTGTATATTACTTATCCTAATTTCAATCAATTAAGATGTATTTATGTATAATGTTTAACGATATTTAAGTGTGTTTTCATCTCATTTGTTTTTAGGTAAGATGCATTAATTAAATGTATTTTTTATGTTTTTGAAGTAATAACAATTTTAAACGCATATTCAATTAGGTTTTTTGTGTATATTTTCTTTAATTAATAGGCATCTGTTGTAATGTTGTAATACTGATTATTGATTCTTTCTGTGTTCTTTTTTCTCAATGGGTGGGTCTTTAGTGACGTAATAGCGCCATCAGCCAATCATGAGCGTTCTAAGGCGGAAAAGCCTGAGGGTACAGAGTTGATGTAGCCACTGGCCACAAGTTAAGTTTGCACATGAACTGTACATTAATTCGCTTTTTCTAGTATCTTTTATATTAAAAACTTTGCAGCGAGCACCCCCAGCAGGCTGAAATGAAGACACTCGTTTTGGGAGTTGGTGGGTAAGTAAGCTGTTAAATGTGTTGCTGTAATAACCCTCTCCGTTTGAGATTGTGATTCATCGATCATGAAATGTTTGTTGGTTTATTGTGATGAGTGGGAAATGGAGGGAGACTGGACCACAGTTCTTGCATTAGCCTCCTATGATTAAATTACCTGTTAACAGTGGTAATTATCCAGTGGGGGGGGGGGGGGGGCAGCAGGGACTCATCAGATCAATAACATGTGACAACCTTGTGGCAGATAAGACTGATAAGAGGTGGTTATTTTTCAGAGAAAAAGCAACACGTGTAACCATTCTGAGAGTCAAAAAGAGAAATCAAAATGTCCATGTATCTGTTATATCTGACAATGATTCATTGTAAGAATAGAAAACATGTTTTTCTTTAAGGGAATACTCTTTTATAAAGTCTATAATATATTTTTTCTTGCATTTGAATTCAGCACATTGGGACACACAGAGTGTTAATTAGTTGCATTCATTTCAACCGATGTCATGCTAAAAGTGTGCATCAATTCTTTAGTTTCTTTTGTAATATTATTATTTCAAGGTTAGATTTTTTGTGTTTTTAATGCAACTAAGTTAAATTAAGAAATAGACAATTTCAATGTGTACTGTTTTTCTTTCAGGGTGACTAATGGAGGTAAATCTACTCTTTCTAAGAGTCTACACAAGCAGGTACCCAACAGCTGTCTCATTGCACAGGATGCATATTTTAAGGTATACTTCTTTAAATCATATCATTATGTTTTGCACTTCGTCGAAAAGTGAGAGTTTGAGAGATCACAGTAGAGGTTTTTTTAATTTCAGGATGATTCTGTGGTACCAGTGGACATCAATGGGTTTAAGCAATATGACAGTAAGGAGACTTTATTTAACTGTGTGTTAAGACCCTGAGGTCTTTGGTGATTTGTTTGGGAGTTTTATCTACCTGGGGATGTTGTTAAATGTGCAAATGGTTGGTAAGTTTCATGAAATAATAACCAAATGTTAAAAATTATTAGAATATCACATTAAAATCATATAAAACAAAGACAAGCAAAACATTCTCAATAATCTAATCAGAGAATTATTGAAATGTTACCAATACATTACTTAAATGTGTATTTAATTTGATGTCTTAATTATATGGAGTAGTCATTAAAAGTACTCGGCAGTCAGCAAAGTAAATCCTTTTATTATCTTATATTCTGTCGCAGTGCTTGATGCTCTTCACATGGACACCATGATGAGAGAGGTGGAGTCTTGGCAAAAAGACCCTGTGGCGTTCCTGCGGCAGCGAGGCCGTGAACACACCACAGCATCAGCGGAGGAAGAGGAGGTTTATGTGCTGATCGTGGAGGGCTTCCTCATTTTTAACCACAGGTACATAAAGAAGGCTTTCCTGAAAATACTGTGTTTATGACTGGTCATTTACACTGTCTTTTTTGTATTTTCTACCTAAAAAGAACGAAGCAACTTGATATTGAGATCAAATGCAGTTGGTACAGTGTGACATTGGGCTTTACATTTATAAATTCAAATTGCTAATCAGCTGAATCTATCAAAATCAAATCTAGCATTGCTTTGAAAGAGGTATCTCTGAAAATCAACAAAAATGGTATACCTATAATAAGTACTACATTTGATAACTGATCTGACAACATATCCCTTTTTATATTAGAGATATGATATTTTTCTAAATCGTAATAGGTTAACTCTGACATGTTTTTGTTTGTTTTTTCAGGCCTCTGAGTGAGCTAATTTACAAAAAATACTTCATGGAAGTACCTTACGATGTCTGCAAAAGGAGACGAAGGTGTGTGATGTTATAATCAATACACATTATTTCTTGGTTTACCTTTTTTCATGGATATTGTTTTACTTTCATTTCATTGTTTAATGTTTGAGAAACGTTGTGTCTTCCTGTTTTGACCTCTCTTGCTGTCTTTGATTGACAGTTCGAGGGTGTACACACCTCCTGATCCTCCAGGATACTTTGATGGATACGTGTGGCCATTGTACCTGAAGAACCGTCTGCAGATGGAGAGCATGGTGTCTGGAATATGTGAGTCAAAGATGTCATGAATAAAGTTTGTGTTTCTAATCAGATCAAAACTTTAATTCATTTGGAGCATTAGGGTACTTAGTGTGTTTTGAGACCTCAAAGATAGGACATTTAAAGGATTAAAAGGTAACATTTATCCGTTTTTGTTTTTTTAGTATTTCTGGATGGACTGAAGCCAAAGGAAGAGCTGCTGGCTGTGGTGTGTAAAGATGTCTGTCAGGAACTAGAAAGGCTCAGGGGTGAGTTCCTTAGGCTTTACTTCTTCTTATGTTTTACAAGATTTGTATGGGGCTGTCTTACAAGCATTCAATTATGATTTACATTATTTGCAGCTGTGAGTAGAGCATATTCATACTGCACATTCGTATTGCATTAGGACATTTTCTGTTTGACTTTTGCTGTGTGGGCTTACTACTGTACATACTTAAGAATATGCCTACATTCTTATGTAGTATTCAAATGATATACAGTTGCCCTAGAGCCTAAACAATACATCTACAACAGATTCAAGTTAACTAAGACTATTTTATACTAAGTATGTGTTTTCATTGTTAGTTGGGAATGTTTGAAATTAAAAAGAATGCATATCGGTGGGATTGTGGAGAGACAGGCTTAAAGTTTGACAAAGATCGTTTGAACCTTCAATTTAAAATACAGTATTTAAAAAAGAAAAAAAATATTGAAGTTATTGTTATGTGTTTTCTTTGCAGAGGACGACTGAAATGTTTGGAGTTTTATTTGTTTACCTTTTGAAGATGGAAACTGCTGCTCCTATGAATGTCAGGAAAGTTCAAATGTTTTGGCTTGTGTGACTTTAAGGACCAAATCAAGTATTAATGGTTATGTTAAACCTACAATAGTTAATGTAGCTAAAATGTGAACTAGAACATTAAAGGTGGGGTAGGTAAGTTTGAGAAACCGGCTTGAGATACACTTGTTGTTATATTCCATGGAATGCTCTTAACATCCCGATAGCAATGAATATCTGAAGTGCTTTGACAAAAAATCCATAAAAAAATGTCATCTCTGGAAGCCGTAGCGCTGTAAAAAGCACGACCAATCATCTGAGCCGGCCCGGCTAAAATAACTGGATGGCCTACCTGCCTGTCAGCCTTTCATCTGTGTACAAGTTTATCTCGTGCCCTCATTGGTCATGTGCGCGTTCGTGTGTTGGAGGAGGGGCTCTGTAAGGAAGTGGCAGATTTGTTCCGGCTGTGTATTTTCAAATTCTAGAGCACTCAAGCTGGTTTCTCCAAAATTACCTACCCAACCTTTAACCACACATATAACCTCAACTTTGTATGTGACTCCAGATAACCAAATAGTGTGCATCATTGCTAAAAATAGTATTAAAGATTTTTCACTCATATTTTAAACAATGATAATTGAATACTGTGGTTTAGTGAGCTTCAATATTTGTTTTATATCATTTGTCAAAGGTTACAACTGTGAATTTGTAACATTAGTTTGAGGTTGTCTCCATCTGTTGGTTCAGTCTGATAAACTTGAGACAGACTGGCGACCAACTTGTATTATTCTCTTTTAAACTGTTCTAAGCAAGTACAAGGAAAGAAGCAGCACAAAAAAAAATCACATCCTAACAAGCATGTTGCATCTGTCATTCTTCTTTTATAATCATTAAACCAATTACATTGTGAAGTGAGAGTGTCCAATCTTGGAGCATCTTTTTGTACGTATGAGAGGAAACTGGAGTAAAATATAACACAAAAATGAGAAGTTATGCACATTTCTGGTATTCCCCAAAATGACTGTTGACCAGCCTCACGCCAACAATCTCCCTCTGTGCATTGTCCACCCTTTCACATCAAAGTTTTCATTTAATTATACAAAAGACTACATTTGGCATTATATGCAGGGACCTTATAACCACCAGTACTATACTGGAATAACATTTCTTGGCACCCAGTTTTTCTGTAAATCAGGTAGTTTGTAGTACTTTCAATCAACAAAACGTTATTTAGGAATAAGCACCTGTGGATAAAATATGACTTAAAAAATGTTTAATATAAACCAAGCCTTATGTTCTTCACAAAACATGGCCAAAACACAAGCTCATAATGAAGAGTCTGTCTATCTTACACTGTACTGGTGTAACATCCAATTGCCAAAGTCAACTGACCTCAGTGATTTGGGGCTCCCAGGTCTCTACTGTATCAGGCAGTATCACACTTTGCCGAGTGCGTTATCTAGCCTCCATTCCATGGTTTGCACTGATTTTAACGTTTCTTTCTACTAGCACCCACACAAAAAGGCTCATGGGTGAACTTTAACGCACATTTCTGCTGATTGAAGGTATTCCGCTTACCCTTAACCTATTTGACCTATAGTTAGACAGAACATACACATCTAAAACACACATTTTATTCCCAAAATAATCTTAGAATAAGACAGCTGTGCACTTCCATTTATCCAAAAAGCTCTCATGTTTCAAACTATTTTGTTCTTTCTTAGATTTGAACCGCATCTCACAGTCTGCATTGGTGGTTTATGATTGCTAACTTGATATAAGAAATGTGTCTCCTGTTACCCAATCTGTGTTGAAATATGTTCTATTGCAGTATCTGCAATGCTTCCAGCATTTTTATTATTGCATCAGAGAGGTCCGTTTGCATCCCACACAGCATGCTATCCAAAAGTAAAGCAGGTTTTAAAAAATGCTGGAACTGTATGTTCAAAACTTGGACTCAGAGATTGGGCACTCCTCTTGGTTAGCTCCTGTATTTAAAATCCTATAAATAGAAAGCCTGCTCTCATTTTCAGAATGAAACCTGTTTGACAGCCCTTTTTTTCTAGTTTGCTGTTTGAACCGAGGAATGCTTTCTAAAACACTGACATGAAATGTCTAAGAACTTCATTGCAAAACCCTCCTCTGACTGATGAAGCTGGTTTGGTTTCCCACGACACTTAATGATAAAAAGTTTACCAAAAGTCCATGCTGTCAGTAGAATAATAATGTGTCCATCAGCAGTCAACTTGCCTGACCGGCATGTGCAGTGTAGGAGTTGTCACATGTAAATCTGGGCATTCCTTACTTCCTTATACTGACTATATCCTCTTCTAACTCCACACATATAAGCTGCATTTGTTTTTATACATCGACACGCTCATACAGCCTCATATCTTGAATTAAGTTTTGGCTGTTCAAACTCAGGAGAAAACATGTCCAACACAGGATTTTCAACTTTTGCATGCCTGTTTTTTGCATGCTGCTTCTGCTACAGCATAGCTCGGCCAACTAAACTCAACCAAGAGGCTTCAAACGACAGACCTGTGATCGGTGAGTGAAATGTGCCACTAGAAATAAAGAAAAGCAATACAGATATTCAAGATGAATTGGAAAAAAACGATTGTTAATTGTCAGTTACTGTGTTTTTGTCCCACAGGTATTTTGACTCAGATGATTTCAGATACGGCCATGAAACCCTTCGGGAAGACCTACATACCTTCCTCATATGTGAAATACATCGAGTCTGGAGGCAGCAGAGTGATGCCTATCGGGTAGGTTTAGTCCTTTTAAACTGGTGTTAGTCATAAAGATACACCATCATACCAATCTATGGCTGGAAGATTTGATATCATATCTATTGAAAGCAGGAAGTAAAAACTGGTAATCATGGACATAATCCAAGAAAATTCGACCTATTAAAATTCACTATACCTAAAAGAAAAAATACATCAATCCAATCTGAATAAAAATAAGAACATGGTGTTTTTGGACTATACTAAAAGACTCAAGTTGAATTATTTAAGGAGGGTGTATTTAAAAAAAAAACAAAAAAAAAACACTGCATCCTTTTTTAACGTATCTTATGTTTGGAACAGTCATTTACATTATTTGTTAACTTGCTGTTGTATACTTTTATGTCACTGTTGATTTGCTGCTTTTGAGGAAAAAGAGAAGTGAACTTCCACTTTTGATTTTCGTGCTGTCAAAACACACAAATAATGGGAGTATTTTTTTCTTCCGCAGATTGACTCTTACCACCGCTGATTATGAATCGATTTTCAGGAAGATAAATGGGTGAGCTCCATTTCTATAAATGTCTTGGAAGAGGAAAATGCAATAACATTTACATCTTAAACAAATTAACTGAGTGACTGAGCATTTCTGTCACTGACTAACTCTGTGATGTCGGTTTAGCTTGGTTTTCATCGGGGGGGCAGTGGATTTGGAGAAATCTGACTATGCCAGGGTGGCCAAGATTTTTTACAGACTCGCTCTCAAGGTTTGTACGGCATTATTTTGCATTTGTGCTGCATTCAATGAAAGGAGCTATGCCAATAGAGTTTATCATTATTTCACCTTTACATGAACATGGGGATGCAGGAAATGTGCTTTTCTGCCACAGCCTGATCAAGATTCAGTTTATTGAACAAAAAAGTAAACTCTCACTGTGTTTATTGCAGGCCAATGATAATGGGGACTTCTTCCCCATCTGGGGCACGTGCATGGGCATGCAGCTCCTGACTGTGCTGGTGGCCGGTAAAAGTCTGCTGGAAAAAACCACGGCTGACAACGTAGCGCTGCACCTCAACCTGACGTCAGGTTAGAGCTTTCTGCATTTCTTTGGATCTATTTTCTGGAGAACATTTTCTGCATGTACTCAATCGTACCACTTGGTGTCAGTAGAAGCAAGTTACAAATACAAGTTAAATGTTTTTGTCTAATAATAATGTTCTTGTTTGATGAAACCCTGATTTTCTAAAGTATATTTCTCCCTGCAGAGGCCAACTCTAGTAAGATGTTTGAGGGTTTCCCCCAAAAGCTCATGAGTGCTTTGACCGAAGAACCTCTCACTGGCAATTTTCACCACTATGGACTATCAGTAAAGGTACAAAAGTTCTGGTGACATGTGTTATAATGTTTCACTTCCCCTGGGTTTTTTGTTATTGTGCTTAAAAAACATAGAAACCATCCTCCAATCATTTCATTCATAAAACGAGGGTTTCAAAAAGGGTTTCTGTTACTCAGGTCTGACACTTTTGACTCAACAGGAACTTAATATGACTTGCAGTAAAGACATATATTAACAATCTGCAGATTTACTAAAGATTACTATACGAGTTTTTTCTCCATAAACTGTGTGGTTTATTAAAGGCTGGAATAAATCCCAAAGACCCAAACCGCACAATGTAGCAAATGGTGTGTTGTAATTTAATTAATGATGTGCTTTAGATTTAATCTGATATTAAGTTTATATGGTGCATATTTTTAAATAAATGTCTCTTTAATTGAATCACCACACAGCAAACCATAGGCCAAATTATCCAGCACAATAAGGCTGAACAAAGTGTACAGAAATATGAGTAATTATGTTCAGGTACCCAGGCATATCTGTTGGCCCTTAAGATAGCTAGAAACACTTCATTGTTCAAATAGCGAGTAGAGTTTCAGAGCATTGCAATAAAGCACATATTTGTTACGTAACTTTAAAACATAGAGTATTGTTTAAAATACGGAGCATTACAATTTTGATGAAAAATAATACATGTTATCAAAACTGATAAGACAATTGTTCTTTCAGAACTTTCAGGAGAACGAGCCACTGCGCAGTTTTTTCTCCCTTCTGTCTACAAATGTTGCTGAAAACCAAGTCCACTTTGTTTCAACCATAGAAGGTTACATTCATATTTTAACAAAGATCTCACAAACATATCATCATTGCACTGTAACAGAGTTGTAACTTGTCTTTTTTCCTTCATACCAGGTAGAAAATATCCCTTCTATGGAGTCCAGTGGCACCCAGAGGTGAATCGTTTTCAGTGGGATAGAAAGCTTAACTTTCCTCACTCTGCTCACGCTGTCCAGTTATCTTCCCTGCTCGCACAGTTCTTTGTCAATGAAGGTAATAATAATAATATTTGTGCATTTCATCAGGAAATAACTATGATTGTGGGTTATAGACCATTACAATAAAACATGTTCGATTACATTTTCCGATCTCCATAGATGTTGCAATATAAGCTACAAAAATGAAAATCTAATCAGCCAACCTTTGTGTTGAAAAGATAGCTTATATTTTATTGAACTGTAAAAGTGTTAAAGTAAATGGCAAAAGCAACATAATCATGGATTTGTCAGCCCTTGTGCAAATAGATTTGAATTAACTGGAATGGGAAAAGAAAACGTTTGGAAAGTGTTAACAAATTGCTCTTTGGTGGGAAAGACAAACAAATAAAAAGCCCTCTCCCTTTAAATAGTTAAAGAAAAATGTAATCAGAAAGTAGTTTGATGGTAAAATGTAATAACATTAACACCGTTAAACATGTTAAAAGAGTTAACAGAATTCTTGAACAGAATAACGGTACAAAATGTATAATCTGTTTTTGTAGTATATACCAAAAAGTTAAAGATGCAAATATTACATTGAACACTTGTTTATCTGCCTTTATACAATTTCCCCATTGAGATGATTCATCTATTATTGTAATCTATTCACATGCATCTCACTTCTGCTTTGTTTAGGAAGGAGAAGTTTACATCAGTTCGACAATCTTGAGGAAGAGGCCTCGTCTCTGATTTACAACGACACGCCTGAATACGCTGGAAACTTCACAGGATACGAACAGATCTACTTCTTCTGAAATCCTCTAGTATCTGTCTCCTGTCCATCTGTGAATTTACAACAGAGACATCTATATTCAGTCTGTGGTAGTTTTGATCAATGATTGTTTTTAAATTGCTTGATTTCAAAATACATTTATATTTGTGTCACTCCTGAATGTAGCTTGATGGAAAATGCAGGGTCTGTCTGTCCGTGGAATTCAGAGGCAATTATTGTACTTTTTACTTTCCTACATTTGTCTGACAGCTGTAGTAACTTTAAATGTTTACATTTTTAATGCAAAATATATTAATCATTATATATACAATGAGATATATGGTACAAACTCATAAGCTATGCAGCAGAATACTTAAGTATTAGCCCTAGGACATTTGAGTGATGTAAACATTATGGATCAATCATTTTAATCTAATAATATATATGATTGTCAAATAAGCACTTTCGTTTTTGGTACTTTAATTGATGCTAATTCTAGTATACTTTTGCTTCAGTAAAATGTTTAACTTTCTCATCACAAAGTCTGCATACAGAAGCTGTTCTGCAGCTTTTAAATGGGCCACATGATGTTGTCATGTCAAATGATAAAATGTCCATTTTGTTCTATTTTTACTTGACATGAACTTCTCTTCCATGTCAAATTTGAGTTTGAAAGTTAATTGTTGACCATGGAAACAGCGGGTATCAAAACAACCTCTCTTTAAAATGCATTAAAACAGTTAAAAGCTAAATAAATGTAAAACAAAGTCCAATTGAATCATTCTGAGACTTTATTTTGGTGTCTAGTCAAGGCTGGATTACCAGGCAAGTTACATAAAAAGCTTGAAATGTATCGGTTTGATTTTCTTTTTTTGTGTAACTCAGGGTTTTTTGGAATCAGTCAACCAATGATTTTTGGCATTATTGTTTAATTAAATAATTGTTTTAACTTATTTTGTATGAAATCTAATGACAAAGGTAATGCTTTGTCCAACCAACAATCAAAACCCCCACAAAAGTACTTAGCCACACAAGTCAAATAAAAATAAAAATGTTGAAGACAAAGGAAAACATACAATGTTAACCCATCATTTATGTCAATGATGATTTATTTGTATTTGGATTGACTTTATCAAGTGTCACATTTTCACAGCTTTTATTTGACATATAGGCTACAAAAAAGGGTGTCCATAGGGGCTTAGGTTTAAGTAAGTTTTGCACCAACACCCAGAAAGAGGGGTAATCCGGCCCTGTGTAAGTGAGGAGCCTTTGATTCATGACCTCAAATTAGCTAGCAAAACACACATGCATGAGGAAATGGTGGATGTGCTGGCACCAGGTTGGCACAAAACACAAGCAACCAGGCCGTCACAACACACACACACACACACACACACACACACACACACACACACACACACACACACACACACACACACACACACACACACACACACACACACACACACACACACACACAGACCCCCTGCTGATTGGTCGCCCCTCACGTCAGTACTGTCTGCGGGGCGGAAATAGGCAAATCCAGCCAGTGCTCTAGTTTCTCACACAGATGCTGCTGCTGGGTCAGTGTTGTGCCGTCTATTAACAATAACAGAGTCAAAAGAGCCACAACGACGAGAAGGAGAAGAAGGAGGGGAACATCCACATCACCATTTCTCCTTATCTCAATCTACAGGGATGGAACAAACAATGTGACATAACCGCGCTTCAACTTCCGACCAAAAACGCTTTTTATCCACCTTTTTATTCGTCTTTTTCACAGGTGCCATTGTCTCGTCGCCTCTCACAGCTGGCAGACAGTCCCTGGCACGGCTCGGTTCACTTTACAGCCTCCATCCATCTGCACGGCGGCTGCGGCTTGTTGGTAAACAGGATCGGACTCCCTCTGGTGCATTGATGCACCCGTTTCAGTGGTGTAACGGTGAGCAGTCATTTTACATTGTTAGGCCTCTCACATAAAAATGTGCAATACAGCCTGTTATTTAGAGGGAATCTCTCGTGGCAGTTATATAATAGAGCAAGACTGTAGTCTCTGAGTCACTCCAGTCTTCTTTTCAATTTAGACATTTCTATTGTGAGAAAAGACAATGTGTGGAGCATAACGGTGAGTTTAAAGTGCCCTATTAACATCCCCTATGCATCATGTTGAAGCAGTATATATCATACATGGTTTATAACACACTCATGTTGTTGTTTAAAGTCTGGGATTCAAGAAGTTGTATAAAGGGTTTATTGATATATTCATCATTAACTTTATCCCTTCCTGTTGCACCCATAGGTGAGGGCCCATGGTATTTTGAATGATAGTAAAACATTGTCGTAATTATATAAAATGTCTTTATATCACAAGTTATAATCACTGACAAATACTGTCAACTAATACAAACGTACAAATGTTATATATTTTCCTAAAACTACATTATTAGTGATGCAACAATTTGTCCATGAATCGATTTCTCAATTGACAGAAAATAATTCAGATACTATTATAATAATAGATTATTAATTTAAGCATTTTTCAAGCAAGAATAGCTCCACAAATGTGATGAGTCTAATATTTTCTTTGTCACACATTTGCGAATACATTATATTTAGATTTTTTGTCTAACTGTTTGAGTGCATCACCTTTTTTGACAATAAATAGACAACATATTTTGCAGATTCATTTATGATGGAAAATACTATCATTATAATATGTTATAAACCATGTATGGCGTGTATTGTATACTGTGTGTGACTGCTAAATAGAAGGACCTGTAAAGTGTTACCAACATAATAATTTGTTTAGGTTACCTACAATATCCAGTTTATATTCTTATAATATATCTGAATGTTATATTCATTTTTGTATTGACAGGTAGAAAGAGTCTGCTTAATAAATAGAATCCTTTATTTCCATCTAGATTTCTTCCAGTTGAGCGCCACACAAGGCCAGTCATTGTGCTCTCTATGTAACATGTTGCCTCTGTGGATAATGTGGTTCACACTATGTGCAGTCTCTCACTTCCACTCCTCTCCCCCAATTATCCACTAAAGACAAGTCTAGCAACTTTCCCTGTCTTCTTTGAAAACTGCTGTTTGCATCTGGAGGTATATCTGTCATGCTTAAACAAAGGAGTCTCTCCATGGCAGTGAAATGGTGTGTCAGTGCTTTATTTGTCGGGGTGAGACCTGGTGAAAAATTATGGATTATCTTTCCTATTTCTCGTGTCACCTTTTTGAGGGGCAGCTGCCACAGCAGTGTCCTCACTGGACTGCTGGTGGTGTTCAGACAAGAACAATTACTCCCTTTGTGCTGATCAACTCCCCTCCTATTCATAGAGGAAATAGTACACACACACACATGCACGCACACACACACACTATCAAAGAGTGACATTCTCTTGGCAAATGAAGCAGTGTCAGGCAGCCGCAGCTCAGTTCTGTTTGTCAGTGTCTCTGTGATCATGCCTACAGTGTTTATGCGTGACACATGTAGCACTTTGATGCATGTGATGGGGAATTCTGGGCCCAACCTACTTTCTTCCTCTTCTTCTTCAGCAGCAGGCAGTCATGCAGGCGAGCTTGAGTGTTTCCCCGATGAACTATTGAATATTTGATGGCAAGTTCTGTCTTTAATGCTAGCAGCAGCAGCAGCGGCAGAAGCAGCTTTGTGTGTGAACGCAGCGTATATAGGACAATACCCTACCAGGCATCTCATAGGATCTGTCAGGGAAGCTGCCATAGTCGAGGCAGTTTACAGCCCTAGCAAATCACGGAGGGACTTCCCTGCCTTTTTAAACCAACAACGCCAAAATCTGTCTGACAGCTGAAACTCAATACGACCGACTCAGATATCTCTCTAAATGTTTTGCTATAGATAGCTTTCATCCTTTTTTTCCTGCGTCTGCTTCTCTCAGTGCCGTGGCAACGGTACGCCTCCTGAGTGTGCCAATATATAGGTCAGTGGTCATGCAGGGCTCCACCCAAAGCAAAATACTACATATAGCTGTCTACTCGAATACAAAAGGTGGAGGAGGAAGACGTGTGTACCCGTCCATACCGGCAGTCGTGACATGACAAACACACACACACACACACACACACACACACACACACACACACACACACACACACACACACACACACACACACACACACACACACACACACACACACACACACACACACACACACACACACACACACACACACACACACACACATGCACAAACACAAAGACTTGAATACTAATGACCCAGATCTGATTTGCGAGTCTGCAGCAGCATCACAGGTGATTTGTGCCATCAGCTGTGCAGTGACATGAATAGTAATATTAATAGATTAATTTTGTTAGCACTTTTACAGGTGCTCAAAGACGCTTTACAGATATAGTGAAAAGAAAAGAACAACAAATAAATATATATAGTTAAAGTTAAAGTCAAATAATACAAAAACAATCACACATTAAAAGCCAGATTGAAGAGGTGAGTTTTTTGAAGGTGGTGAGGTCAGTGCAGTCTCTGATAGGTTGTGGGAGTGAGTTCCAGAGGGAGGGGGCAGCGACGGAGAAGGCTCTGTCCCCCCAGGTCCGGTGATTGATGTGGGTGGGGATGGATAGGAGGTTGGCTTCTGATGAGCGGAGGCAGCGGGAAGGGGTGTGGTGGTGCAGCAGGACTGTGAGGTAGGGGGGGGGGGGCCTGATTGTTAAGGGCTTTGTAAGTAATCAGGAGGACTTTGAGGTAGATTATTTGACGGACGGTGAGCCAGTGGAGGTTCTGGATACAGGAACATATACCATAGCCCCCCCCCCATGGCTGTATGTGTCTCTTTGCCTGCTGGGACCTTTGTGATGCAGATTGCTTGACACAGTATGAGGATGATGGAGAATATTTGTCCTACATCTATCTGCTGGTTTGTTTGTATGTCACTTGTATGTAATGCTACCATTGTGGACGCTGAGTTTTAGCCCTCTGTGGTATATGAATATGGAGGAGCCGACGCAATGATAATGAGTTTTAAAATGTATTATGATGCACGTGCAGGACTTATTATGAATCAATAGCTAAACGTGATTTGTAGAGGAGAAGGGACGTTCTGGCACAACTTCACCTACTACCAAGGTACTGTATATGGGAAAGGGAAAAAGTCCAGTCGTTTTATTAGATTACCATTCCATTGTATTGACTTGCAGAGCTGTGTAGCTGTTCAAGTTGAAGCTGGAGGAGGAAAATAAAACAAAGTCCTATTGCACAATGGTGTATTCATTTTGTGGGCTTTTTTTTTTATCGATTTTTGTGAAACACTTTGGCCTTTAGTTATGGCACTTTGGTTTTTAAATGAAACCATCTGAGACCATGGTTGGTTCTGTTATATACTTCTAAAGCGTGGCAAAGGGCCCAACTAGACATTTATTGTAAGGGGTTGGAAACAAAGATATTGTGAATGGCTGCTTTCATCTTTAACAAATATTGTGTTCTATAAGCTTATCATAATATGATAAGCTTATAGAACACAATATTTGTAAAAAACAAAAACAAATTGTATTTAAAAAAACAACATATTCTGTTGTTTTTTATGTAAAACAGGAATCTGCAAGGTAACTAATGACTATAGCTGATAAATAAATATACCTCTCAAATGAAGTGGAGTAATAGGGCTTATGTGCACTATTATCCACTACAATTACATCCATTTCAGAACAGAAAAGGCTTTGCAATGTAATTATTATAAGGGTTTGACACTTAATTTGTCTGATAATGGTAGTATGGCCCTGCACATGTCCTTCAGTTTGTGTTCAATTCACAAACATTTGAGACCCTGGTAGTGATTGCCTCTCGCTGAGTGAAGTCATTTAGCGTGGAACTTAAATGTGCAGCCACAGACGAGCCTGGATAGATGAAGCATCACGGCTCATTCAGAGAGAGTGGAACTACCAGGCGGGAAGTATTGATCCTCTCATACTGCAATTTCCACTGTGAGACGGGAGAAATGTCAAATAGAAATGTCAACGTTTCATTTTGGCTGCAGAAGGTACTAGAAATACAGCAAAAAGCTGTGCAACAAGAAAACAATACTAATCTCAGGGATATGATAAAGGTAAAGGACTCCATTTAGCCATCCATTGGTTGATCCATCTCTCTATTAATCCATCCATCGTCCTATATGTCTGTCTGTTCATCTATATATACTTTTGGAGAAAGGTTATCGCCTATTTAATTGTGTGTCATTCTTATTGATTACCACATGAAGGGGAAACTGTAGGACTGTAGATATACAAGCTGTTGTTATAATAGATACATTAAATAAAAAGCAGCGTTTTTGGACCAATTTAACAACACTCGTCAACCACCTATCTTCTTCCTACATAGCCATGTCATTTTCAAAATAATTGCGCACTGATTCGGCTAAGTTGAACAGTCAATCATAGCGATTTCTCACTGGTCTGTGCCACAAATGTAATCGGGCAAGTGATAAATCAGAATCGAGGTTCTTGCCAGGTACGTTTATACATGCAAGGAATTTGCTTTGGTGTCTGGTGGTGCAAACATAAACCATCTAAGAAAATACGTTGCAATTGTAGGTCAAAAGTAGAGTATAATGATGATAAAAATTATGTTTTTTTAAGAAACGATTTTGTGGTGTGGCAAAAACTGAGCCACAGTCGCTCTGGATGGCTCGACATTGATGTGTCAAGGCTTCTGTTTTAGGACCAGTAAACATAGACAAACAACATAAACAGACTTTCCAGTCCACCTAACTCTTTGGACTGTGGGTGGAAACTGAAGCAGATAAACAGTAAGAACATGCAAACGTTACATATACAGAAGAAGCTGGTTTCTGGCAAAGCTCTTAAATGTGCAATTTCTTGAAGTACAGTTTATTTTAGATTTAATATAAGCTGATGCTGGTGGCATTGAAAAGTATGGATTTCTCTGTTATGATTAACAATATACAAGCTGATTTCAGTCAATCAGCTGCTGTGATGAAAACTGGAGGACTCACAGCCTCCTCCTCCTGTTCTAATGTGAAGAGGTTCATATCAGCAGATGGCGGTGAGTCCTGTGTTAGCTCTGATGCACTATCACTCACTGGGTTAGCGTGACCGCGATCTCACAAAGCCCCCTCTCACATGCAGATCTGACTTCTCATTACTCATGCAGACGCACAAAACACAAGTGTGCTCTGTGTGTCTCCTTGTGTCTGTCCATATCATCTACAAGTGTTTTTCTGCGTTATTTCCCCCCCTAGTAATCGGGGAATGCATGGTTCTCTATTTGGTAAATAAAGTCCATCATATCTAATGGTCATGGCCACATTTGATCTTCAATCCTCCCCCTCCCCCCGCCCCTCTTCTGACCTTGACTGCAGACAGCGGTGCTACAGTGATAATCTATTTCATGATAAAAGAAACACACACAGTATTGTAGCGTCACAGCCAGAAGGATGAAACAAAGGGGGGCACCTTTGATGGGAATACCATCTGTTTGGATTGGAGCACTCTGCAAAGTTCAAGCCATGAAAACAGCTATTAGTGTACGAATCAGCTCACTGTACAGGAATACAGATATATTTCTGTGAAATAATTGAATAGTGCAATGACTTTAATGAAATTGCACTCAGTGATTGACTCAATATCATACTGTCTGTGGCTAATTGTTCTCTTATGTTTATTTTTGATACCTTCATAGCGCACAACAAATTGTGGACGTAACAATGTTGCTTTGGCGTACCATTTAGTTTGACATGTTTAGGTCCAGGAATGAAAAGGGCTTTACCTTTCCCTCAGCCTTTCTTTCTAAGCATATGTGTGTATTTGAAACTTCAGTGTTTTACTTCTGTTATATGCAAAGTTGAAGGTCTGACTCTGAGCTGCCCATGGATAGTAGAGTTCTCTATATATGAACCTTTAATTTGTGTTTTTAGACATTCCTGTGTGAAGCAGAGTCAGGCTTTCATTGTTTTGCTATTTTTTCGTTGCATACTTCTTGTAAATGTATTTTTAAATCTTTCCTCTGTCTTTTCTTCAGGGTGCTTCTGTGGTCTGGGACTGGTTTATTCCAACAAGTCGTGCACCATGCCGCCCATCACCTTCCAGGATCTGCCTCTCAACATCTACATGGTCATCTTCGGGACAGGCATCTTTGTCTTCATCCTGAGCCTCGTCTTCTGCTGTTACTTTATCAGGTGAGGGGCAATAGAAACAGAAACAGTGATCAAAAAAAAAGAAAGGCGTTAAAACAAAGGAAAAGGTGTGTTTTGTAACATGGGCACTTATCTCAGTTTCTCTTTACACCAAAACAAATTCAAGAAAATGCATTACCTGGCTAAAGTAACGTACAGTGAGGACAGTAACAGGGTATGCTGTGTAATTAGAGTACATGATACCGCTGGACTTAAGTAAAACATCTGTCAATGATTCAAGGCTAATATGCTACATAATTTAAATGCATGTTACTAAATGTTTAGCATCATAACTTATCAAGAACCGAAAAACGTTATTCAATCCAAGTAACTGCTACATTGCTCACTATAACATCTAATCTATAGAAGTATTAAACAAATCAATAAAATAGATATTTAGTGATCTATATCAAACTGCACCAAAGTAGTGGACCGACCAACGTCAGTACGGAGAAGTGTGAGTATGTGTTATGTGTGTGTCCGTGAAAAGAGGGGTGACCTCTCAACTGTTGACTGTGTGTGAACTCCCTGATGAGCTGAGGGGACGTTTGTGTCTGGAGCACGGGATATGAGGCAACAGGAAGTAGCCCGCTACAATGTGTGAGGACAGTAGCAAAGAAAACTGCAGAGACTCCGAATAAACACGACCTGAATAGCACACAGTGGTGGGAGTACACAAAAAAAATCAACATCAACGTCTACAATGTATAAAACCTCATAAGGAAATGTCAACACCTGCAGTAGGATTAGTTTTTTTTTTTTTTAAAAAGCTCTCTTTGGGTGGCTGGGCATCTCATAATGAGCCATTTTAGCTGTCGCTGTCAGAATCACCTCTGTTATCGAAATGTCAAACAATTTACAGAAAACCTTGGTTTTTGGCTGGATAATACAAATACAACCACTAAAGGCTGGTAGTTGGTATCCAATGTGCCGCTTTTCCTCAATCATGTGCATTTAACTCCTGTGCAGTTAATTCCTTTTTTCTATATATAATTACATTAATGAAGAAAAGGAAAATTCAACATGCCTCCAAAACATCGTTTATTCTTGACCTCAAGACACCAGTTGACAAAATAATCTCACTCTGCTCCCTATTTAAAGGTGGGGTAGGTAATTTTGGAGAAACCAGCTCGAGTGCGCTAGAATTTGAAAATACACAGCCAGAACAAATCTGCCACTTCCTTACAGAGCCCGTCCTCCAACACACACGAACGCGCACATGACCAATGAGGGCACGAGATAAGTTTGTGCACAGATGCAAGGCTGACAGGCAGGTAGGCCATCCAGTTATTTTAGCCGAGCCGGCTAAAATGATTGGTCGTGCTTTTTACAGTACTACAGCTTCCACAGATGACATTTTTTTATGGATTTTTTGTCAAAGCACTTAAGATATTCATTGCTATCGGGATGTTAAGAGCATTCCATGGAATATAACAAAAAGTGTATCTCGAGCCGGTTTCTGAAACTTACCTACCCCACCTTTAATAGATGTTAACTTCTCAATCATATCATTGTACATTTGTTGGATGTTTTATAGGCCAAACTGAAGTATTTTTACTTGAAGTAAATATATTTCTGCACAGAGCTTTATATGTTTCAGCGCATTGTTTAGTTGCTTGGCCAGCTACTGGACCGTTAACTCTCACCAATCTCAAAGTTTTGTTTATCGGCTGCAGCAGACAGCTGTTTTTAGTGAAAAGTACCAAACGGCAGACAGAAACAGTTAGCGACTCTCTGTAAACATAATGGAGCATTTAGCAGCCAAGTATTTCCCTCAGGAGTTGTTAGACAACAAAAAAGAATAGTGAATATCATCATTTGGTTGGATGACACATGTTCCTTCTTAACTGCTGGATTTGTAAACAACTAACAAGTTCACCATATAACCCTAATTGTGATAATATGAAAATGTTCTGTTCATAACTTCTGGCCAAAAAAGTATTAATTGCCGTTTATTACTTTTGGGCGAATACATATTATAAATTAAGGATTTGGTGAAACAGTCACACCTAAATCCCCATTCAGACTCAATCATGAAGCTGTTGGGGTTCAGAAATGTAACTTATTTATAATAATTTATGTTGAATAAAAAACAAAACACCTAATGGACTCTGTGGTGAGATTAATGTGTCAACTGTTCTGTGATGCTAACAATTAACTTTGATTCGTAAGAAATGTAACCTTGTTCAGTTTTTTAATCCAATAATTTTTTTATTCAACATGGATGAGAATAGGAAGAAAGCTCCTTTTCAATTGAAAACAATGAAAACAAGGGAAACCCCATGTGTTGATGAACATCCATAGCAACTAATAAATTGGCCTTTTTTCAATAAAACACACTTAGAATTGGATACAGTTTACCCAATAATAGATCCTAAAGGTTGGAATTTTCAGTGCAAAAAAAATCCATTGTTTCAACTCTTAGGCAAATCTGGGAATCTTGTATTATATACACTGTAAATAATGGTATCAATTCAAATCAATCAAAAAGCATTTTCGATTTTCTGAGATCATTTAATATTGTAGTTATCTGCCCGAGAAAATAAACTTTTGCAATCAAATTTCTGTAATCATAATCCTAATAATGTGAACGCTTTATTTGGTCTAGGTTTGGCTCTAAATTGACCGTCAACTCCGTCAGACAGCCGGGATCCTTCCTGTTTTCTTGAAGCACTTACCTCTGAATCACGACCAAAGAGTCACTTCCTTTCGGCTCCTTAAACGGGCTGAAGGTAGTCTTCGGTAGGAGTGTGATTGTGAATTCATTTATAGACCGGGGTGATTCATCACATGAATACTGAGTGATGAATGCCATTCTTTGTTGGGGGCAGGCTTCCCATTATCCACTCAGACAGGCTCTCTGTAAATCAGTGTCAGGGACTTAGTGATGTTTGGTTCACCGTGACTTAAAATCTGTCTCTATTCAGCTATGTTAGATTTCCATCATACAAAGCAATTATATCGTTTTCTAAAAAGCCTTGCAAAATGGTGGAGTACACACACACAGCAATCTTTTCAGCCTTCATTTTCAAACAGTTTCTATTATAGTGGCACAAACCGGGGGTGTACACAGCAGTATACCTGCAGTGTACAAGATGGTAAAACCACAAGAGTGCCAAAAGCACTCACCCAAAATATCCCATCTTAAATTATACCCTAATGTGCTCTAACAGCACACTTGTCGGAGAGAACCACGATTTGCAAGCCTTAAGTGAAATCTTAAAATAGGACTAATATTTTTTGCTGACATTTTGGAGTGATTTCGCATTTTATTTAAACTAAATTACAATTTATTTGGTCCTTTAGTTGTGTGTCATACCCTCCTCCCTCTCCCCTCCATTTCTGATATGAAGCCGTAGATTCACATGAAAAAACCATCTTACATGCCGAGAATGAGAAAGGCAGAGATTTGGGAGAATAAAGTGACAGTTTAATTCCAAAATGCTTCAGCAGGAGATAGGGCAGACTGGAGGTCGTCTTCTATCATGAACACAGCTAGAGAGTCAGCAGTGAGATTCATTTGGTTAAATCTGTGAAAAACTTTTCTAATAAGAAACATTTAGTCTATAAAAAGTTTGTATCTGTCTCTGAGCAATCAGAACTCGAACTGATGCTCTGTGGATTTCTGAAAAATATCATAAAACGGAAACTATAGGTTACTTACGTAACCCCAGTTCTCAGAGTAACATGAAGTGAGATGTCTCACTATGGGATGCGCCTCATCGCGGAGCAAACAGAAGCATCAATCTCATTACGCCAATCCTGATTGACTGGTGATCTTGACGTCAGCGTCAGAGAATTCACCCCCTATAAGTAGCTTGCGCCACGACGCATGCGTCATTCAAACACCTCTTCTCGCTTCAGAGCACAGGATGCAGCCAGACCCTGAGTCGAAAGAGCTCGCGGACCCAAGGGTGCCTGCGAACTCTGACTCATATGGGCCCCAAAGCAATTGCTTCCACAAACCAGTGGGAGAGCCGTTGCTTAGTAACAGGCTTGCCCTTATAAGGGTTAGCCCAGGACACAAGAGGTTGGTCATTATGACGAAGCACCCTTGATCTGTCCCTGTACGTGCGTAAAGCACGGGCTGGACACGGCAAATCCGGCCGCTGTTCCCCGGAGGAATACAGTGGCGGGGAGGATGCCTCAATGTCAAATGTGGTACCTGAACCAACCGCCTTAAGATAAAGGCAGGGTTGGGCTTCAACCACACTCTGTTTGCCCTGGGGCGAACTGAGTGCATGAAGACTGTACAGATAGCGCATGAGTGCCACTGGCTCGCTTGGCAGCTGCCAGGGTCAGCTTCATGTCACACTGTATTCAGATTGTACCACTCACGGGCCAGGCCCATAGAGCCAAGCGCTCTGGGTGTGGGTGAAAGATCGCCCCCCCCGCTTGGGACAGTATGTCCCTGCGTAGTGGGAGCTGCCATGGCTGCCCGCACAGCAGCTGATATATCTCCCCTAGCCAGTACATTGCTGGCCAGTGCGGAGCTATCAGGATAAGTGTGTGGCGTTGCTCTCTCACTCTGGCCAGAGTTGGGGGTATCAGAGCCAGGGGTGGGAACGCATACAGAAGGCCCGGGGGCCAATCGTGCGCGAGTGCATCCACGCCTAACGGTGCATTTAGATCGCGCATCGAAAAGAACAGCTGACACTGAGCGTTGTCTTTCGATGCGAACAGATCCACCGCGGCTCTGCCGTAACGCACCCACAGCTGGCTCACAATCCTTGGATGTAGAGTCCAGTCTGCATAAAGTGGTATACCTCTGGACAGTAGATCTGCCCCTAGGTTCATCACTCCCGGTACGTGCGTCGCTCTCAGAGAGAGGAGACGTCTACCGCTCCATAGGATCAGTTTGCGCGCCAGTGTGTGTAACTGGAGAGAACGCAAACCCCCTTGGCGGTTAATATACGATATTGTGGTCGTATTGTCTGTCCTCACGAGGACGTGATGTCCCCTGAGGAAAGGCAGAAAGCGTTTTAGGGTGAGAAACACCGCTA